GTAGTTGCCACATTCGGTGCAAGATCCTGTATCCTTGTACAGGGATGCTATGATGCCATCTTTCCATTTTGCTGGCACTCCGTCTGATGCCCGCACTTTTAAGAACAGTTAATGCAGGCCAGTGCTCACTGGTTCCGAGGCACTTTTGAGCAGCTCAGGTGGAATACTATCAGGTCCAGCAACATGTCGATTCCATAACTTTTGGATGGCCTTTTGTACTTCCTCGAGCGACGGAGGATCAATATCATCCTGGGTGTGCTGCTGTATGGTTTGCCTGGTCCTCTAGCTCTGGATAGTCATTGGCAGGTGTGTGCTTTCATCATGTGTTTTCCATCTGTCCAGGTCCTCGTTGGATGATGAGTAGGAAGAGCTGTCTGGTTTTGCGAAGAGGATGTTAGAAGATGTTTATGGCTGCCAGCCAGGTGCGCGATAGCTCTGTAGGCAGGACAGGTCGTTATACTTCAGGCCGTCCTCTGCTTTGTCGGCCAGGGAAATGATGCAGATCTCACCGTCATGTTGTGCTAAGGCCTGGAAAATGCCTTTCAACTGTTCACGTTTTCAGACAGCTCCCTGTTTGTGTACTTCTGCCTTTTTAGCTCATCTTTCAAAGGCCTCTTCAGAAAGCCAAGGTGTCTTGTGTGACTTTCTGAAGCTGATTGTTCCAGCCGCAGCCTGTGATATAGTGTTATGTATACTGCTCGATGCGATCTCCAAGTGGTCTGAGAGGGTATGTGCTCTTTAACAGCCGGTGTGTATTTCACAGCTTTAAGAGGATCCTCGGTGAGACACTGGACATTGCTAGTTTGCAAGGGTTTCACATCCCAGCAACTCTCCACCTTTCTCCCTGGTGTCAGGCACTGGTGCCAGGCAGTCAGGCCTGGTGGTTGGAACAGAGGTTGAAGCCGGGTGATCAGAGTCCGTGGACAAGCCAAATCAGTACCATAGCCAGAGTCCAGATGCAGGCCAAGGTCAGAGCTGGGGGTCAGGAGGTGGATGCAGGGCGGAGCAGGTCAGTAACAGGCCTGGAGCAAGGTCAGGGTAGGACACGGGCAAGGCTGGAACAGGGATCAGGCCAGGGACAGGAACTGGATCTGGAGCAGGCTGGGAGTCTAGAGTGTCTGCTTCACAGTGAGGCTGCAGGAGGGCTCCTGGCTGCACAGACTAACTTGCAGCTCTGGCGTTGGGGAAATAGCTGAGTCTGGGGGTCAGCTGACCCAGGCTCTGCTCAGGGATAGGCTGCTGCCGCAGACAGAATCTTAACCTTAGTCAATAATACTGGTGGATTTCAACAATCCCCATATTGACTAGGTATATGTCACTTCAGGATGGGATGCAGACATAAAGTTTTTGACGCCATAAATGACTACTTGGAGCAGCTAGTCCTGGAACTCACAAGAGGAGAGGCAATTCTTGATTTAGTCCTAAATGCAGCACAAGATTTGGTCCAAGAGGGGAATATACCTGGGCCGCTTGGTAATAGTGACCATAATGTAGTTAAATTTAACACCCTTATGGGCGGGAAACACCAAAGAAACCCACCACAGTAGCATTTAATTTCAGAAAGGGGAACTACACAAAAATGAGCAAGTTAATCAAATGGAAATTAAAAGGTGCAGTCCCAAAGATGAAATGACTGCAAGCTGCATGGAAACTTTTAAAAAACACCATAACAGAGGTTCAAATTAAATGTATAGTTCAAAATAAAAAAACGTGGTAAAAGAACTAAAAAAGTGTCACCATGGCTAGCCAACAAATTAAAAGAAGTGGTTAGAATCAAAAAGACATCCTGTAAAAATTGGAAGTTAAATCATGCTGAGGAAAATAGAAAGGAACATAAATTCTGGTAAGTCAAGTGAAAAGTATAATTAGGAAGGCCAAAAAAGAATTTGAAGATCAACTAGCCAAAGACTCAAAATGTAACAGCAAATTTTTTTTGAAGTACATCAAAAGCAGGAAGCCTGCCAAACAATCAGTGAGGCCACTGGATGATTAAGGTGCTAAAGGAACACTCAAGGAAGACAAGGCTATTGTGGAGAAACTAAATGAATTCTTTACATCAGTCTTCACTGCAGAGGATGTGAGGGAGATCCCCACACTTGAGTCATTCTTTTTAGGTGACAAATCTGAGGAACTATCCCAGATTGAGGTGTCATTAGAGGGGTTTTGGAACAAAATTATATTCACCCAAGAATTCTGTAGGAACTCAAATATGAAATTGCATAACGGTGGTATGTAACCTGTCATTTAAATCAGCCTCTGTACCAGATGACTGGAAGATAGCTAACATGACACCAACTTTTAAAAAAGACTCCAGAGGTGATCCGGTAATTATAGGCCAGTAAGCCTAACTTCAGTACCAGGCAAATTGGTTGAAACTATAGTAAAGAACAGAATGATCAGACACACAGATAAACACGATTTATGGGGAAGAGTCAACATGGCTTTTGCAAAGGGAAATCATGCCTCATCAATCTATTAGAATTCTTTGAGGGGGTCAACAAACATGTGGACAAGTGTACAGCATACGTAGGCTTTCAGAAAGCCTTTGACAAGATCTCTCACTAAAGGCTCTTAAGCAAAATAAGCTGTAATGGGATGAGAGGGTCACTCGTCTCTTGGCTCATTATCTGGTTAAAAGATAGGAAACAAAGGGTAGGAATAAATGGTCAGTTTTCAGAATGGAGAGAGGTAAATAGTGGTGTCCCCCAGGGATCTATATTGGGATCAATGCTATTCAGCATATTCATAAATGATCTGGAAAAAGGGGTAAATGCTGTTTTGCCAAAATTTGCAGATGATACAAAATTACTCAAGAGAGTTAAGTCCAAAGCAGACTGTGAAGAGCTACAAAGGGAGCTCACAAAACTGGGTTCTGGGCAACAAAATGGCAAATGAAATTCAACGTTGATAAATGCAAAGTAATGCACATTGGAAAACCTAATTCCAACTATACATATAAAACGATGGGGTCTAAATTAGCTGTCATCATTAAAGAAAGAGATCTTGGAGACATTGCGGATAGTTCTCTGAAAACATCCACTTAATGTGCAGCAGTGGTCAAAAAAGCTAACAGAGTGTTGGGAACTGTTAGGAAAGGGATAGATAATAAGACAGAAAATATTATCAGGCCACTATATAAATATATGGTACGCTCACATCTTGAATACTGCCTGAAGTTCTGGTTGCCCCACCTCAAAAAAGAAATGTTACAATTTGGAAAAAAAAAAAAAACAAGTGAGGGGGAACAAAAATGACTAGGGGTATGGAACAGCTTCCGTATGAAGAGAGCGTAAAAAGACTGAGTTTTCAGCTTGGAAAAGAGACAATTAGGGGATATGACGGAGGTCTATAAAATCCTGAACAATGTGAAGAAAGTAAATAAGGAAATGTTATTTACTCCTTTACATAACACAAGACCCAAAGTTCACCCAATGACATTAATAGGCAGCAGGTTTAAAACAAACAAAAGGAAATATTTCTTCACTCAACACACAGTCAACCTGTGGAACTCTTTACCAGGGGACGTTGTGAAGGTCAAAGGCCAAGACTATAACAGGGTTAAAAAAAGAACTAGATAAGTTCCTGGAGGATAGAAAGAGATTTGATGTCTATTATAACAGGAAATTAAAATATTTTTTACATGATTTAAGCAAGATGTGGGTTTTTTTTGTGGTAAAAATTATGTCTGAATTCGGTTTATATATATATTAATTCAGAGGTTCTCAACCTTTTTCTTTCTGAGGCCCCCCTAACATGCTATAAAAACTCCACGGCCCACCTGTGCCACCACAACTGGTTTTCTGCATATAAAAGCCAAGGCTGGTGTTAGGGGATAGCAAGCAGGGCAACTGCCTGGGGCCCCATGCCACAGGAGCCCCCATGAAGCCACATTGCTCAGGCTTCGGCTTCAGCCCCGGGTGATGAGGTTAAGTCCTGGGCTTCAGCCCCATGCAGCGGGACTTCGGCTTTCTGCCGAGGGCCCCAGTGAGTCTAAAGCTGGCACTACTTGGTGGACCCCCTGAAACCTGCTCACAGCCCCCGTGGGCCCCGGATCCCTGGTTGAGAACTACTGAATTAACTGACACCCCCCCCCTTTTTTTTTTTAGTACCATGGGGGAATCTGTCTCTCTTGAAGGATTTGAGGGGACTAAGGTTTTGCAGGTGGTAGTGGGATAAAAATGCACAAAACAATGAGGGAGCAGGTGGGAATGGGTATTGTGGGGTGGGACGGGATGGGAGCAGGATTTTAAAAAATAGTCTCGCGCAGGGCTCTAGCCTCTACCACCTGAGCATACTTTCCTTTTCTCTCTCACTTGTGGACAGAAGATCTCTCTTAGCTATCAGCTGTAGAGAGCCCCAGCTGAATGAAGCCCATAGGAGCTGCAGTATCTCTGACTGGATGTCCCCAAACTGAGTAATTGCTGGTTGTTTCTGAAAATTGTAGCCATATGCCCACTCCTGCTCCCACTGCCCCCTCTTTTGACCTCCGGGAGCTGCAGGTGAAGTTTCCGTAACAGCATTGCTGGTGAAATCCACCTTCCCTATGTGGCGGTTGAGAACAGGTTATTGTAACTTGGTTATTAGCACATTTTCAACCCTATTTTGCATCAAGTGAAGGCAAAGACAGTAATGGCTAAAGCCAGATTAGCCCTCTCTCATTTCCCAGTTTGCACAACCCCTCAAAGCCAGTGCACCAAGCCCAGGGGGGAAAGCTGCTAGTGGTGCATTTTAAACGTGGAAAACTGAGCTTAGCTTCGCTTCCATTTGTCCCTGGGTTTGGGAAACTGCAGGGAGCTGTGGCTGGAAGGGGGATTGGGCGTCAGACAGGGAATCTGCACAGCTAGGCTGCCTGTTCCCTGGCCAGCCAGGAAGGAAAGCCCTTGACAGCTTTCTTCACTTTTCCTTTCTTATTTGTAATGTCCTTTCTCCTTCCCTTTGGTGTCTCAGTGGGCAGTCTCTGGCTGCTGTGCCCTTCATGCATGTTGGCTTTCCCTTCCTAGATCTATATCGAGCTAGATTTGCGCTACCAGCCTCCAGATGGCTCAGCGGGTACATGGCTTGAAGAGGATTTTGTCTACCAGATGAAAGACAGGTACTGACAATAATGGAAGAGTTAAAAATCAGGCCACTTCTGCACTTCCAGCCTTGTTCCCTTAGGGCCTGTCTGCAGTGGCTTTTTACAGTGTTAGTGGGACGGTTTGAGACAGATTGCCTGGTCAGTTGGAACTGTTTTAGCTGTGAGTAAGATCAGTGCAGGAGTCCAGACTACTCGCCGGGTCGTGGGATTGCAAACCACTTGGCAGGCATGGGGTAGGTGTCAGCATCCAACAGAGCTGCAGCCTTGTCTTTACCAATACTGGGCGGATAGCCTGCACCTCCCTCCAGTGATGGCTGGTCTGTGCTGCCCTGCAGAAGACCATGCAATTAGGAAAGGCACTAGTCAAAATGAGAAGAGACGAAGCTGGGCATAGGATTACAGCGGAGACAGGGGTAAGTAAGTACTGGTCCTGGCAATCCCCAGAGGCTGTGCGAGATGGTGCACAGACTGGCAATGTGGTGTGGGTGCAGCGGAGTCAGAAGGGGGAGTTATCCTGGCTGTCCTTGCTCTGAAATTCTGACCTGAGGAGCTCAGAGGTTACAGTGGCGGGTGTGGGGTAAGGAGATGGCCAGATTGTGATGCTGTGCAGAGTCTGTGCAGTGTCTGCAATGAAAACAAAGGCCTTACAACAGTTAAAGCGAGAGCAGACTCGGAAGCATGTGTTTGGTGAACAGCAATAATGGGCTCGCTAGTGTTTTGACTAGTGTTTCTGTGTCTTGCAGCTCCGAGTTAATTATCCGCAACGCTGGATTCGAGGAGCTGCAGTAAGTAGCCTGTGCCCTCTCGGAGCAATGCGCAGGTGCTTGGGGATTGGAGAAGCAGTGCTTCCTTGGTCTACTCCCGGCTCTTGCCCGGGCAGTCTCACACGAGGCTGACAAGTGTGTATGTGTTTCCAGGCCAGCTGACGTGAAGCGAGCTCATGAGCTGGATAAGAAGGCCACAGCACTGGGCAGGAAGCTGGTGAAGGGCCTAGAGACTGACGAGGAGGAGGAGGAGTATGATGATGAGTCTGATATGGAGTTCTTGGGCATCGTCTTCAGCCCTGTCAAGAGGTACCTGGCACATGCTCCTCTTCTCTCCCCCAGTGCTCTGCAGGGCCTTTTGCTTGGTGAAGGTGTGGATCTCTCCACACAGCTGGGCCCAGGGGCCCATCCCTGCTGTGCTGGGGTACTGTGAGGAGCCGAGTCTTATCCACAGGGCCCTGGGGGTTCAGTCCAGCCTTGTTTACCCTTCCTGCAACCTGTGGCTTTGTGTGCAGCCAGGCTGTGGTGTTTCTGCTCTCCAGTAGCAGGACGTGATGGTGGCTCTTGGGGAAATGTGGCCTCTTCATGGAGCCTTCACCCTCGCTGACCCACCTATGGAGGGAGTTTGCTTGGAATTGCTGGGCTGTCTGGGAGGAGTGTTTGGAGTTTCCTTTCCCCTTGCTCACGTCTTGGCTGATTGGCCCTTGGTCTCCAGCCATTACAGCTTCCCCGTAGGTATAACTGTGTTATTAGTGCCAGTGGGTAATGAAGCTACCTTCTGCACATGTGCAGGCTGCAGCCCAAGTAAGTTAAAGGAGGGTTTTGCTCAGAGGCCCACTCAGCTGGTTTGTTTCCCTTGCAGCCGTTCCAGACGCCTCTGCAAGTGGGACCTGTTTGCCACTCCTAGACCACAAAGCTTCCAGGTATTGTACTAAACAATCCTCCTGCAAGTCAGGTGCCTCCCCTTGGATTCCTGCCCCCAGCCAGGTCTGCTACAGTCAGGCAGCTAACTGCCAGGCGAGTGTCTCCCTTCAATGTCTAACAGAAAGGCAGGCCCCTCCGCCCTCTCCAGGGAACAGTCTGGCGGTTCCTCTTTGCCACATCCCTGCTTCCTATTCCTCGTTAATCACACACTGGCCTCAGCAGAGCTCTCCTTTCCTTGTATAAGCTCTTAAACGCCTACATTCCCAACCCCACTGGCCGGGCCCAGATGGGTGTTGATCTTTCCTTTCATTGCTGGTGGTCTTCCTCCATGCGGCAGCTGAGAGGCTGTGTGAACACTCTGCACGGGATGGAACTGGTTTGAACAATGTGAGCCAGGATTCTTACTGGGCCATAAAGTGAGATCTGAGTTTAAGGGAGATTAGAAACTGCGAACCCGGTGTGGGGAGAGCCATCAGCCTCTTGCTGTCTCAGCTGTTAAACAGCGCCCTGTAGTCTAATAATAACAACAGTAACAGTGCTTCTGTAGCTCTTTGCAGTGCACATATTAACTGGCTCTCATTGCCCACCTGGGAGGTGTTATCATTCCCATCTTAGGGACGAGCAAACAGACACACGGAGATGCCGCTGTATCCCAGGAGGTTACGCAGTTGGCCTGAGCCCTACTGCCACTCAGTAGCGGATTCGTGACTCCCAGGCCAGCTTGACCATGCAGCCTCTCTCTGGGTGTAATCTCTGCTGCAGCAAGAGTGCCCATTCAGGCTGTAAATGTTGCGTTTCTCTAACCACTGGCTATTTTTCAGTGTTTGCCTGGACACTCTAGTGAACGTCTAGAATATTAGGGGGCAAAGGCTCTGCCACACATCAGTGGAAAGGTAACTTGGATTGTAGTAAAGTCTTTGATTTCCCATTTGTCCCGCTCCTCCTGAGCATGCCGTCACCTGTCTAAGGTGGGAAGAGATGCTAATGACAACAGGGCATTTTAAAAAGCAGCGGAGAAAGGCCGGGGGCTAACAGGCAGGCTGTGTCTCTGGAAGAGCTGGCTGCAGGAAGGAAACAGAGGAGGTTTCCTCTCATTGGTGGCACTCCCAGCTGCTCCGAAAGGAGCTGTCAGTGGATTCCTTTCCCATGTTTCCACAGATCGGGATCAATGTCATTGAAGCTCAGAAGCTGGTGGGGGTGAACATTGACCCCTTTGTGGTGGTGAAGGTTGGAGAAGAGAAGAGGCACACGGCTACACAAAAGTCAACGAACTGCCCCTTTTACAATGAGGTACGTGGCATGGGCCAGGGATCCCATTGGCAGAGTGTCCAGAGCCACCTGCACAGGTCACAGTGCAAGGAAGGGACCAGGAACACTGCAGTGTGGCTGAGAGCTGGCTGTGTTGCTGTTACTCTCCACAGCCTGGGTCATGACACGAGCACTGCTCACACCCAACCAGTGTGACGTGGAGCGCACAGCACTGTTCACACCCAACCAGTATCACGCGGTGTGCACGGCACTGCTTACCCCAACCAGTGTCACACAGAGCGCACAGCACTGCTCACACCCAACCAGTATCACGCGGCATGCACGGCACTGCTTACCCCCAACCAATGTCACTCGGAGTGCACAGCACTGCTTACCCCAACCAGTGTCACACAGAGCGCATGACACTGCTCACACCCAACCAGTGTCACACAGAGTGCACAGCACTGCTTACACCCAACCAGTGTCAGGCGGCGCGCACAGCACTGCTCACACCCAACCAGTATCACCGGAGCGCACAGCACTGCTTGTCACGCGGCGCACACAGTACTGCTTACACCCAACCAATGTCACGCGGCGCACACAGTACTGCTTACACCCAACCAGTGTCACACGGAGTGCACAGCACTGCTTACACCCAACCAGTGTCAGGCAGCGTGCACAGCACTGCTCACACCCAACCAGTATCACCGGAGCGCACAGCACTGCTTGTCACGCGGCGCACACAGTACTGCTTACACCCAACCAATGTCACGCGGAGTGCACAGCACTGCTTACACCCAACCAGTGTCACACGGAGTGCACAGCACTGCTTACACCCAACCAGTGTCACACGGAGTGCACAGCACTGCTTACACCCAACCAGTATCACCAGAGCGCAAAGCACTGCTCACACCCAACCAGTATCACCAGAGCGCACAGCACTGCTTGTCACGCGGCGCACACAGTACTGCTTACACCCAACCAATGTCACCAGAGCGCACAGC